GTGTGTGTGTGTGTGTGTGTGTGTGTGTGTGTGGATAAAGCAGCATGGTTGCAGTGGTCAACAGGCTCTTCCAGGCACTTCTCTGAGAGACTGACTGGAATAGATACAAATACAAAAGTAGACGTGTGAAAAGCAACTCAAAGGATTTTGTGAAGTTCCAAAACAAACAGTTGTGTTGAATGTAAACTCAGACAGCAGCATATCTGCACAGCCTCTGTGCTCGGTGTTCAAAGGTGTGTTCTTGTTTTTAAAGGTGTGCTCGTTCGGAAGCCGTGTGTTGGGTCAGGGCATCTACACGTTTGACAGGAGACTACACCACCTGAGGTCTGCCTTCAGCAGCATGCTGGAACAGCACATCAGCGCCCATCTTTGGAAGTAAGACGTCCCTGTGAACAGAGCTTCATGTGAATATATGTGTGTTTACTACTCAGAGTTACTGTCAGCAGCTGTGGTGCAACAATGGAGCGACCCACGGACACCGGGGTCAGTGTCAGTACTGGGAGCACCCTGACTGCACCCTGCACAGGCTGCACAGGTAGTGCTCCAGCTGTGTGCTTTTCAGCTGGTTTGCTGCCTTCCCTGCACAGCCTCAACAGCATGCAGGAGATGGACAGATGCTGCAGGAGGTGCTTAACCCACATCAAGACTGGTGTCTGCTCCTTTGTGTGGGAACTCTGAGCACTGCCAGAGCCCCACAGGACGATCTGCAGCAGGCCACGGGTGTGAATGTCTCTGACATTATAGTCTGTGCTTTAGACAGAGCAGTTCACCCTGACTGTGACACACATGGAGATGCTGACTGTAGCCTAGTTCAGCACGACAGGTTTGGTTGTCAGTCAGTGCTGATGTGGGAGCATGCCCTGACACTGTCAGCCGTGAACAGCAGCATGGAAAAGAGTTGGAGCTGCTTTGGTTCACTGTAAAAAGCCCAAACATGATCAAACAGTGTAGCTCCTTTTGCTCCTGACACAGGAAATGTGTGAGACACTGTCCTGCTGGAAGCTTCCATTAGAAAATGGATGCAGTCGGCAACAATACAGGTAGGCTGTGGCATTAAAACCACTCGGTCCATAACGTCACATCAGTGGGACTCGTTCAGGCAGAGCCGGACAGACAGAGCAGCAGGGTGACATGCTCACGATGCCACGTGTAACGTTCTTCCTCCATCAGATGCTCGGTCTGAGCCTGAGCAGGTCCTGAGGAGCTGTCGTATGGCAGCAGTTTCCTGCTAACAACGTGTCTGCTGACATGCTGGGCAGTGCAGGAACAGACACTCAGGGCTTACATGTTACAGCAGCACAAACAAGGCTGGCACAGAGGTGCACCCTGGGTTGTTTGGTTCAACGCCCCCTCAGAAGATGACCTCACAGTGCTGTCTGGGCTTTATGTTCCCCATGGCAGGGTGAGGCGGGGGTGTGGCCACTGTAAACATGGCTGTGCTGTCAGACACTGCAGGTGGGCTCATCTGTTCTTTTTTCCCTCTGTCCAGGAAAATACCTCAAGCTGCAGACCTTCAGTCTCCTCCTCCAGCCAAGACCATCACATCCGTGTCTCCCACCATCATGTCCTCCTCTTCATCACATTCTAAGGTTCGCACAGGAAGTCATATTAGCTCCTCCCTCAAAACGGCGTCATCCTCATCATCTTCCAGTCGAGGGCCGGGGAGGCCCCCGACATCCACGCAGTTGGAGAACTACGGGAGCAATAGCAGCAGCAGCATCGCCGGTAGTCACGGCGCGCCTGCGGCGACGCGCTACCCCAGTCCCGGGCGACCCAAGAATCCAGTCGGACGTCCCAGCAAGCAAATGCTGAAGCTGCGAGAGCAAGTCGCTACAGCCGCTGTTCTCCGCAAGCGCAAAGTCCCGTCCCAGGAAGGAGAGCACTCGGGTCCCGACAGGAACTGCATCGTCCTCCAGGACAGGGGCCGCCCGCCTTCCAACACGTCGTCTTTATCTTCCAAAGCGCACGCGCAGACCAATGGCACGCTCTCCCCCAGCAGCAAACCCCACCCCCAGCCTTCCCCCACAGACGCCCAGTCGCCGAGCACAAAGGCTATTTGGACTTACAGACGGACACACCCTCCTCTGGGGGACCCTTCTCCCACCGCCAATTCCCACAGCCGTGCTTGCGTGGGAGACTCAGGGCTGCACGGGCAGGGCAGCGGGAGGGTCTTTGAGCACCAGATGGGAACGGTGAAGAAACGCAAAGCTGGTCGTACGGAGGATAACGCTCCCTCCTCTAAGCCTTCAGCCCACTGCCTGACTTCCTCCTCTTCTTCCAGCTCTGCCACTTCGTCTCCACGCTCAAACTTCTACCCCTGGAAAGACAATAAAAGCGGGACGCTTTCTGGGGGTGTGGAGAAGAAACTGGGCACACAGAAGGTAGGTTTGGACGAGGGGAAATGGGTGTACTGAGCAGTTCCAGTCCACACTTGGCCCCTGCAAAGGCGACTAGGAGTAACCCTTGAAGCTCTTTTGAGAACGGAGTGGTTTCTGTTGTGTTTCTGCTTGTATGGCTGCGTTAGTGAGGGCGGCCTCTGCCTGTGCAGCTACCTCGCAGCTCGTCACCTGTGTTCACTGGTGTAGCTGATGAGACTGCCTCTGCACAGCTGAAAGGATGCTGCCAGTCAGACAGTTTGTACCGTGCAACCAGCTCAGTGCCTCACAGTGCATGTAGAGGAATCATGTTTCTGCATAGACGCAGCAGTGTACTGCTGACGTGTTGCAGGTGCAGCTGCTGCCCTCTGGGTAATTACAAAGTGCCATAGATAAGTCAGGTCATACTCCTCAGAGTCTCTGTTGTCAGCGACGTAGTCTTGGACTAGACTAACACAGGTCTGCTGCAAGGTATTAAAAATGACTATTACTCAACCGAGAGCTGTTTCCATGACGATCAGTGACGCCCAGCAGCGGTGGACAGAAATTCCCGCCACGCTCCGAGGAGCGGTCTTAAACTGGCTCTGTGTGAAACATGGATCTTTGTTTATTATGAAGTGAATGCAAAGAGCAGCTGTCTAAACAAAAGTAATAATTTGACTAATTTTCTTCTGTCCTACAGCCAAAACTGCACCATTAAGTGTGCCTGCCTTACAAGCCACGATGAGGGAGCCAGCTCTGCTCAGTCCAGGACTGAGCCAACAGGACTGTGTGTGTCTGTGTGTGCCTTCTGTCTGTGGAGCGAACGCTCGGGTGTGGATGTGACCGCTTGTTTGTATGTGCAGTGTCGATGTAGTGTGGATCGCAGCTGGGTGTGTAGGTCTGGGTGAGTGAAGGAGGGTGGGAGGAAGTTCAGAGCGTATGGATTTAGAAATACCTCACGACCATCTGGTTATGCTGCTAAATGAAATGTTGGTTTATAAAAATTGATTAAAAATGTCATTTTCACTTGGTTTCTGTCACTTCTTTATCACTTTGGAAATGTGCTCTCATGTTGGGTCAGTGGTGCACGTTTTACAATTAGAAACTAGATGATGTGACTGCATTAACACATTTATCCCCACAGCTGCCTCGAGCTGCTTTGTTATTAAAGACTGCTGTAATAGAGGGAAACCCCAACAATGACCCTCGGACAGAACCGGGCTGAGGAGGGGGCAGCCGTCACGCCTGGTAGGGAGTGAGGGGACACGTGGAAGGTGGCCAGGGCTTAAATGGTTCAATGCAAAGAGTGAGTGAAGACACAGCAGATTCAGGGTCACCTGATCCAGCCTTAACTACATACTTGATCATCTTAAAAGTCTGACATCTATCAGTACCATAGTACTATGAAGTCTTTTAGATTAAGATTGTGTATGAGGAGCAGAATTTGAGTCTGGATCAACAGGCAGACTGTCTCGAGTACCTGCCAGTACTCTGGCTGCAGCATGTTGGAACAAATAAAGGAAACGGGACATTTTTAGGATCGCCTAATATCAAATCACTGCAGTCCAAGCTACATCCAATAAATGCACAAACTAGTTTTTCACTATTACTCTGAGACAATATCTTTATAATTTTAGATTTTTTTTTGTGTATTTGCATTTTGCGCACTGAAGGACATCTCTTGGTCACAGGCCAAGGTAATGCCACCCAGAGTAAGAATCTGCTTAGATACCATATTTCTAAGCTTTTCAGGGCCGAGTACAATAACCTCAGTTTGATCTGAATTAAGAAGCAGAAAGTTAGCGGCCATCCAGGTCTTTATGTCTTTAAGACATTCCTGCAGTTTAACTCATTGGTGTGTGTTATCTGGCTTCATGGACAGATAGAGCTGGGTGTCATCTGCATAGCAGTGTAAATGTATGCTATGTCTTCTAATGATGCTGCCTAAGGTAGGGTCCAAACTTTTTGCAAAGAGGACCAGATTTGTGTGTGGGCCGACCATTCAGCCCGAAATATTTTGAACCATTAACATTAAATGCAAATGAACGACTTTATACGGACCCTGCAGAGGGAGAAAGCAAATTAAGACTGACTTCTGCGAGATCTCGCAAAACAAACTCGGGATCTCGCAAAAGTTTTAGCCGCATTCTTCGGAGGCCGCCAGCTCGAAGCCGACCGGGAGGTCGAGGCACGATGTGCCGGGAAAGCGGTGTTCCTCCCGGCTGTAGTAGGTCTCGACCTCCCGTTAGCTTCGAGATGGCGGGTGTCAGATCTCCGAAAACGTCGGAGCACTTTTGCAAATATGTGATGGCTTGTAAACCGAGCAGATATCTGACATTTACACAACTACATTCACAAAATATCTTAAAAGTGTATTTTGTGACCCAGAAAGAGTAATATTACAACTAAGTAGCTGCCGCCATTGTTGGAATTCAACTTTTGTGAGATCTCACAAAAGTCCGTCTTAATTTTTTTCCCCATGTCCCCTGCGGGGCTCCGTAACTTTATCATGTTAATTTTTCACACAAATTTTATTATGAATTTTTTATCATGAATTAATAAATTTTACCAAAACAATGTATTTGAAAAACACAAAATGAAGAAAAATTAAACATTAAATTCAAAACATGTGAACAGAAAAATAACATTAAGAGTTAACTTATTCAAAAGTACAAACACTGGGCCATATCGCTCGTTCTTTAGGTTTTTAAATTGACCATCAAAAATGAAAAAAACGACTTTATGTCATTGGATTTTGAATCAGATCTCAAAAACAAAAATGGATGTTTTTTATTTCAATTTCAAAAATATGAAATTGAAAAACGGGCTGCTGCTCCGAATCAATTTTATTATTTCATTTGCAGGGTTTGGGAGATCCGGTTTGATAGTCAACTGAAAAAACAAGGAAAAAAGACTTGCAAGCTAAACAAACCACTTGCCTGCACTAATGTGAAGGGTGATACTGAGACCTTGTAAATGGCCCAGGGCTGGCTCAGAAACAGTGGTTCTGATGCGCAAAATGTCACGCAAGTGAGTCGCTTAATCTCGTCCTCACGCTTCTTGTTCATGTTCATGACGGGGAAAGTATGTGAGCCAAACAAGCTCAGTATTTTCTTAGCAAATGTTCGAATCTCTTGGAACACGCCTTTATCTAGCTGGCGGTAAAAGCTGTTGGTGCCGACGGCGATACTCGGTGTCACACTGCAGCTCAATGAGCTCCGGCTGCAAATGGTCAGGAGCATCATCAGGGTCCACGGAAGAGGGAGAGGAAAAAGGCGTGATTTTTTCAATAGCTGCAAAATCCCAAAAGTGCTGTTGAACCTTCTCAGCCAGAGAAGTCTGCTGCATCACCTCATTGCGCACTAACATTGGTCTGTAGGAAACTAGTCATTATTTCCTGTAGCGATGGGAAATGTGTGGTATTGGGCTGCATTTGTGACAGATGTCTTTAGAAAAGTAGCAGTTTGGTCCCCAAGGCTTTGATGTGTGAATACAGTTGTCTTACCACTGCATTTTACCCCTGAAGGCTCCTGTTCAGCGTGTTCACATGTTGTGTTATTATAAGAGTTGTCTGATTTCCTCCCTAAGTGAGTAGAAGCGCTGCAATTCAATTCAATTTTATTTATATAGCGCCAAATCACAACAAAAGTCGCCTCAAGGCGCTTCAGTGCAGTGCCGACCCCCGACTGAGCCATCTCACGTCATTGTGATACACAACATCCCTGTACTCAGCCTGGATGTTGAGTACAAACTGTTGACACTGGCGGTGGCACAAGGCTTTGGAGCGAATATCATTAATAGCATTTATTGGCTTTTTCAGAACATGGTCGTATTTATTTCAAATGTTTAGCAGAGAGTCCTTGTAGGTGAATAATACAGTGGAGTTTTGTAGCTTTACCTCCTTGTTTGCTGACTTTGTTACAGACTAGGGTCTATTTCTCTCCCCAGCCACAGCAGGTGCACCATCCATAATAACCCCAGTGACTTTATTCCACGGTAGCTTCATGTCATCTACGGCGGAACAAGCAGCAGCAAACAAATCTGCTTCTCGTTTGGCCCGTAAGGCTCTGGAGGCTCACTCATGTTCATTTCATTGTCCACCCTTCTAAGAAAAAAAATCAGTGCCAGAGGCTGCGGCCAGTGGAAATTTGAACACGGGCCGCATTTGGCCCGCAGGCTGGACTTTGGACATGCCTGGCCTCGGGCCCCCAGGTTGGCTGACCAGCTCCTCCTGAGCGTGCCCAGGACTAACCGTAAGCTCAGAGGGAGTCGGGCGTTTGCTGTGGCAGCACCAAAACTGTGGAATGAGTTGCCTTTACATGTTAGACAGGACCTTCCTTATCTGTTTTTAAATCACGTCTTAAAACATATCTATTTGCAGCACAGCAGGACCTGTTGATCTCTCTTAATATGTTTTTTATTAATTATAAGATATTTTATATGGAATTTAAACTGTTTTCTCTTCGTTTTATATTTGTAGTACTTTGGCCAACATTGTTGGATGTAAAGTGCGTTATAAATAATGATACTGCCTAAGGGAAGCATGTATAATGTAAACAGAAGTGGTCCTAGCACTGAACCCTGTGGGACTCCATAATTAACCTCAGTGTGTGAAGAGGACTCTCCATTTACATGCACAAACCAGAGTCTATGAGATAGATATGATACAAACCACTGCAGTGCAGTACCTGTAATACCTACAGCACATTACTCTATACAAAGTATTATGGGTAACTGAGCGCTGCACTGAGGTCTAGCAGACATGTGTCTGCTCTCAAAGCCCAAAGAAGATCATAACTGTGATAGTTTCTGAAACCTGCAGATGATCAGCTGTTTCAAGACTTTTTGGGATACAAGAAAGATTGGCCTCTAATTAGCTAACACGGTAAACAGAGGACTTTTTAACGGTCTAATTACTGCTACCTTGACAGGCCTGTGGAACAGAGATCATATTTAACATACATGCATATATCATGTTAATGTCCTTGCCTCCATTTACACCAATTAGGCATAATGTTGTTAGTTAGCCCTTTGCTGACCCCTGAAGGTGCTGTGGTACCGGGAACCAAGATGTTAGCAACAGATTCTTTAAGACCCGACACGTGTGAGGACTTGTTTGCACTGTGAGATGGGGAATGTGGAGATTCAGCACCTCAAAGCGGTCCTGGACCACGTGTTGCATTAACCTGCTGAGAGAGGCGTAGCCATCAGCCATCCTTTCCACGCCCACCCCCGTGACATCACGCTCCAAAGCCCTATACTGTTTCCACGACAGGCTGTACATGATCTGCAACAATGTGCATTAATAATTGATAAGTCTACAATAATCATTTTCACCTATTGTGTAGGGAGCTTAAGATTCGCTCAGTTAACGCTGGTTTGTGCCTATGCACGGTTCTTAGTGTTTCTCCCTGCGCTCGGCTACAGCGGCTGACACGAGAATCAGGAAATACAAGTCGGGTCAGCTCACTGCGTAGTTTCTTCGAGAAAAGGTCGAAGCAGAAGCGACGGTGTGGCAGCTCGGTGACTGTGTGCAGACTCGGAGGGATCGCACCGCCCGTCCTGTTTGCGTCCTCAGGCCGGAAATGGCCTTAACAAAATGGGTTTCGTAGGAAGGATGTGTGCGCACACACGAGCCTGGGCAAAGCAGCGACTCTGATGCTGCTCGGCTCGTGCTCGCTGTAACCGCGCGACCATGGAGCTCGTGCAGCCTCCCGACAGCACGGGCTCCTCGGTCCTCTCCAGCACACCTCGTATTCCCGCCGGACGCTGGAGCAGGTAGCCGGAGAGGCTGTGAGCAGCATGCGGTCAGACGTGGAGTACAGCCCGGTGGGAGAGGGCCTGGGTATGCGGGACTTCTGGCTGTACGTGTGGCTGCGGAGAGTGGCGGTGATAGCGACTCATGTCACCGGCCTGGGCCTGACGCTCGTCCTCTCCCTGCTGTCCAGACCCGGAACCAGTAAGTGTTGTGTACAGTGTTTTATCCCCGTCATCAAACCTGCCAAATATAAGGAAGTGATTTTGGT